CTGTTTTTTGCTGAGAAAGACTGGCCCTGGGCTAACATCCATGCCCATGCCCATCTTCCTCCACTTTATATGGGATGCCACCACAGCATGGCTTGACAAGCGGTGCGTCAGTGTGCGCTCGGGATCCGAACAGGCGAACCCCGGGCCGCCGCAGCGGAGCGCGCGCACTTAACCGCTTGCGCCACTGGGCCGGCTGGAGCCTGTCTTATCAGTGGTGTTAACTTATCTAAAAAATGCGCCCCGTGGCCGGCACCAAGACTACTCTGGTGGCGCGGGGGCAGGGCAGGGACTGGGGCCCTGTGCGGGGGTGCTGAATGGGTCTCAGGATAAAATCGGAAAATACAACATACAGGGGCCTGGTTCCACACTGTGCACCGCACAGCTAGCCAGCCCCGCGTGGCCACTCTGCCCCCACCCCTCATCCCCTGTCCGGCAAGCCTGAGGCTCTGGTGAGATGGAGCTTCAGGCCATGCTGCGGAGGAAATTAAAACAAAATCTCCTGCCAACACAGAAAACCTCTCCACCAAAGTCATGAGAAAGAAAACAGACATTATTGAATAAGCATTAAACTAGAACTCAGTGCTCATCACAGGCAACCAGCTAAGAGATGGCAAAGATGGGAAGAGGCTCACCCTTTCTACAGCCAGGTCAACCCCTCCACAGGTGTTCTCAAGAGAGACGGAAACCAGTCCTGCAGTGAGAGCGCCTGACAGCACCTCTGTCATACAGCTCACCTGCACACACCTGGCTGCTGGGGCCCCCCGGGTCGACTGACTGCCTTTATCCGGAGGAAGAATAAACTTGTCCTCTCTTGAGGCCTGGAAGCAGGCTTGCAACTTGGAGCAGGAGCCAGTGCCAGCCCCAAGGGAGGCTCCTACCTCCCACGGAAACTGGGAAATGGGGCTGTGACGTCCCTTCAAGGAGATGCTCCCAGGTCCTTGGGAGACGTTCCTGGGTGTAAAACTGGCAAGAGGCTTATCTAGCTTTTAGATTTACAAAAAAGAAGTAGGGAAAGAACTTACAAGTTTTCTAAAGGAAGTGCTCTAGGAAAAGAGAGAAGTCTGTTTCCTTTCTTTGCATCACGGAGTATTAACTTTTTATTTTTAATCTGCATTTGCCTTTATGCTGCCCCTCAAAGCCCGGGTGAGGGACGTACAGCGCACGGGCCTGCCCTGGCTCGAGGGCACTCCTGAGCAAATGTGTTTCCTGAGGGTCTCCTGAGATTCTGCATTTCCAACCAGCCCTGCAGGAGGCCTCTGCTGCCTTTGCACCCAGGGTGTTGGGGCAGGAATGAGGGGTTTGGGTTGGTGGCAGGGATGGGACAGTGCTTCTTCTCTTGGACCCCTTGGACTGAATGTGAGCCCCTGGCAGAGGAGGAGGAAGGGGCTGAAGCTGATGGAAGTTCCTCCAGAGAGTCCTGGGAGATTCTGGCCAGGGTCCCAGTGAGGGCAAGAGGCTCAGAGACCTGTTCATGGACACCAGCGGAGCCTGCTGGGGGTGGGGTGTGGGGAAGGGACCTGAGGACCAGGAGCTCCAGGACATCTGGAGAGAACGCCTTGGCTGGGGGTGGGGGGTGTCCTCACAGAGCAGTGAGGCTTCCACGGCTTCTAGAAAGACAAGAAGTAAGGGGGGTTGCATGTGGCCTCTTGATGAGGCTCCCCTTGGGGAATAACTGGGGCGCAGAGTGGCAGAAGTGTGTGAAAAGCCTGTCTGAGCCTCTCTCGACAGACTGGGAGTTGCACAGAACTCGGCCCTCCCCTCCGGGAGAGCGTTTCCATGTCCATCTCCAAGAGGAATCCACTGCCTGGCCCATCCCCGGCCTCCCCAGCCATGCCCACCTCCTTCCACTGCCCTCAAACACTCACAGGTGAACACCGTTAGCCCACTCTAGTAAGAGAAGCCTTGGCTTCCCCAAGGAAAAAATCCGGCCTCTACAAATGAGTTTGTACGGTCTCTGCTCCCTGTAAACAGAACCTTCTCTCTTTTCTGCCAGAACTCACAGAGGCAACTCTGCCCAGGTGAAGCAGGCCTCCTTTGGGTGCAGTCTGAGAGAGCACTGGTGTGACCCCTGTTTACTGGGTGTGAATCCTGGTGACCCCACAGCCCCCGGAGAATGCAGGCTTGAACACATCCACAGCTAACTCAGCTCTGTCCAGTGGAATGGTAACGTGAGCCTGAAATGAGAGCCACATATGTCATTTAACATTTTCCTGTAGCCACGTTAAGGAAGCAAAAAGAAAGAGGAGAAATTCCCTTTAGGGTATTTCTAGTCAACCCACTATATCCAAAATATTATCATTTCAACATGTAATCAATGCACAGTTATTAATGAGATATTTTACGTTCTTTTTTTTTGCTGAGGAAGACTCACCCTGAGCTAACATCTGTTGCCAATCTTCCTCTTTTCTCGCTTGAGGAAGATTAGCCCTGAGCTGACATATGTGCCAGTCTTCCTCTGTTTTGTATGTGGGTCACCGCCACAGCGTGGCTGCCAATGAGTGGTGTAGGTTCATGCCCAGGATCCGAACCTGCGATCCCGGGCCGCCGAAGCAGAGCACACCGAACTTAACCACTACCTTATGGGACCCCTATTTTACATTCTTTTTTGTACTAAATCTTCAAAATACAGTGTCCCTTTTACACTTGCAGCACATTCCAATTCACACTCGCTGCATTTCAAGTGCTCAAGAGCCACAGTACAAGCCTGTCTGCTGCTCCTACTCTCTGTCTCGCTCTTGTCTCTCACATACACATGCACACTTTGCCCTCATCACTCCAAACTAACATTAATACCGGCAGTTTTGGTGCAGAAAGGACTCAACTTAGCAGAAAACTACCCCAGGAGTGTGAAAGGAAACATTTTTTTAAAATCAGAATCATGGGGCCGGCCCCGTGGCTTAGCGGTTCAGTGTGCGCTCTGCTGCTGGCGGCTCGGGTTTGGATCCTGGGCGCGCACTGACGCACCACTTCTCCAGCCATGCTGAGGCCGCATCCCACATACAGCAACTAGAAGGGTGTGCAACTATGACATACAACTATCTACTGGGGCTTTGGGGGAAAAATAAATAAATAAAATTATTAAAAAAAAATCAGAATCATGACTTGCATCCGAATATAAAATGAACACCTGTCAAAGATTTTATTCGCTCATTAATGCACGAGGGCACCAATAAGATGTTACAGCTGGTTCAGAGGAGATTCAAAGAGCAGATGCAGTCTAGGCCGTCAGGAATGCGGAGGTGAACTCGCTTAATGGGCACCAAGCTGGCCTCTTGCACAGAGAAGGAGGAAGTGAACTTGCTTTGCTGGGTAACATTCATTTGCCTGTCTAGGGAGGGAGTCATTGACCTGGCTATTGGTTACCTACAACTCATGGAGTTGTGAAATAGCTCAGAGATAGTGACAGGTGCAGAGCACCCTCGAATCAGAGAGCCCGGAGGGGGTGCTAGATGGCAACTTTTGAAGACACCGATGATCTTTTTGGTCCATTTCAGAGTCTTTCACAACTTTTCCCTGCAGAGGCTTGAATTATAAAATTATCCCTTACTTTTTGAAATTGGTTTGTCGAACAAACAGAACTCGTGTACTGGAATCATAACACATTCTTGATTTTGTTCACCCATTGTCCCAGCAGCACGCCCAGTGGGGTGGGCTGCTTGCCTGCTCTCTGGATGAAAACCTGTGCAGTTCCGTGATTTTTGTGATCGCCAATAAGCAATAGAAAGTGTTATGATAACTTTAAACCTCAAGTCTCAATGTAATAATTAAAATTGCCAAGTCCCAGACAGAAATCAAAACTGAACACCTCTGAAAGGTGACAGTGCCTTTCTTCTCGCTTGCCTTCCGGGAGGGAGCGTGGTCAGCTCCTCCTTTCCTGCTCTTCTCGCCCCACCTCCCCAGCTGGGGAATTACAGCAGAGCTTGGAGGGAGGGGAGGAAGCGGGGCAGAGAGCTCTCACTCAGCTATTCCTGTCCAGAGATGGACTTCATGAACTCTAGGTCCGGCCCAGGGAGATGTCTCTCTCTCCCTCTCCCCTACTCCCCACCTTTTCTCTCTACCGCTCCCCACTCCCCCCACGCCCCTCCCCTTCTTTCTCGCCTCCTCCCCTCCCCCTCCCCCTCCCCTTCTCTCTCCCCTGCCTTATCCCTCTCCCTCTCTTACCCCCCCTCCCCCCCCCCCTGCTTCTTTCCCTCTGGCTTCTCCCACTCTCTTCTTCCCCTCCTCCCTTTTCTCCCCTCCCCCTCCCCACCGTGGGTTTTCTGCTCTGGAGGTTCCTCTGCTGCCCTTCAGTACCCATGATGGGGGTGTGTCCTGTCCAGGTGAGGAGGGGGATGGGACACTAACAATCCTTTCCAGAGAAATCCTCTTCTATTTCCAGCCATCCCGCCTCAGAGGCATGGAGCCAGTTCCTGAGTATTTCCTTGGAAGTCTGCGTGTACTCTGGCCCCTCCTTTGGTGTCACGGCACCTTGCCTGCATTTCCAATGTGAAGTTTGGTTGTGTTTTCAAATGGGTTCCTCAGCGCTTTTCCCACAGGGCCCAGCACACCACACGCCTGTGTAGGGAGGCCTGCCTGAGCCAACGTGCAGAGATGGGGGCTGTGTGGTCAAGCAGTCCGAGGGGCAGAGTCCCAGGGCCGTTGCCCATCAGCTGGGCCGTTGGCAGAAGTTTGCTGAGCGTTGGGTAGGCAGCCTCACGATGCTGAACAGAGGGCCCATCGTGCGCCTCGGTCTGGGCCTGGTGGAGGTGGGCATAAAGCCCAACATTTCCTCTCCTGGAGGTGCAGCCTTGGGCGAGATGCCCACCCTCTCAGGCCTCAGTGTCCTCATCTGTAAATGGGCGTATCATGGCTCATCTGTCACTGGGCAGTGTGAGGTGCATCGAGGTGGGCTGGTGAGGGGCCTGGCTTATTCTCACAGCGATCCCTGCATTGGCCCCTCGGATCCCCTTGGCTGACCCCACCCCATCTGTCACAGACAGGCCACCACTGCAGGTCTAATTCAGAAACAGTGTTTATTGAGGTGACCCCAAGGGCCTGGCACTGAGTCACGGCCACCGGGCCACCGGCGTCTCCTGCTCACTCCTCCTTCTCGTCACCGTGGGTGATGATGTAACACAAGGACTTGTAGTCGATGTTCCCTGCCAGGTCCATGGGTGTCAGGGCAAACATCTGCTCCACCTGTGGGAGGCACTGGTGAGAGGCAGGCCTTGGGTTGCCCAGCTAGGGAGGCCTGGGGGGGCCAGTGTGTGACCTGAGGGAGACCTGTGTCCCTTCTCCCTTCCCCTGGGGCTGCGTTTTGGCCCTTAGCCTTTTCAGCCCCAAACCCAAAACTCTCAGTTAATGTTTTTCTGTTGTCAGACTTTGGGCAGACTGGGTGTGGGCGGCCCGATGGGGGCCATGGGTCAAAGGGCCCACCCTGGCCCTGGGGACGCTCCCCTCTCTTCTCTGTGCCGCCCCCACCCCCGCATGTACGGAACCTCTTCCAGATGTTGAACGTGCCACTGTGCTCTCACCCTTGGGCCTTTGCACACACGGCTCTCCCAGCCTGGCACACCCTCCTCCCTTTTTGACTCCACGTCCTTTACCCTCCAGGTCTCAACAGAGACGGTACCTTCTCCAGAAAGCTGCCTCTAAGCCCACAAGGGCAGTGGGTCACCAAGGCCTCCCCAGTGCCCAGTGGGGTGAGGGCTCTGCAAAGGGGTACGGGAGAGCTGTTGAAGGAGCCAGGAATCCTCACCTCAGCCGGAGAGAACTTGTCTGCCTGGGTTAGGAGAAGCTGCTTGAACCTGGGTGGGTGGGAAGCAGTGGGAGAGCCCCGGGTGAGTGGCTGCAGATGGAGGGGGGAGGAAGGCTCCCTCGGTCCAGGTGGCCACCCCCAAGGAGCAGACAGGACCCACAGTACAGGCGCCACCCTCACAAGGGGCCTCACTGCCCTCCCCAATTCCCGCAAGGTGCCCCGCTGCCGGCTCCCACTTACTCATCCTTGTTCACCACGCCCTTGCCGCTGGGGTCAAACATGCGGAAGGCGCTCAGGATGGCTTCCTCAGGGTCTGTCCCTGGGAGGCCGAAGGCGCAGGTGAGAACCCACGCACCTCACCTCCCTTGACCCATCCAGGAGGAACCCAGGGTACAAGGAGAGCCCTCCACATCCCAGAAGAGGTGTGTGGGGGGGGTGTTCCCTGATACGAAGTGTCCCTCAGGGCCCAGAAGGGCGGTCCTCCTGAGAGGGGCGGGCTGACTAGGAGATCGAGATTTGGGATTTGGGAGTGGAGGCTGAAAGCACATTTTCCAACCCTGAGTCGAGACTTGGGGTGACCAGTGCCTGTGGGTCTGGGAAGCAGGGGTGGGCTCCACATCCTCTGGGTGGGCAAGGGCCAGGGGGCGTCCAGGAGGGGGTTTAGGAAGGGTCCAGGTAGGGTCCGGGTAGGGTCCAGGCAGGGTTCAAGCTCGCTGCCTGGCCAGGAGGATCCAGGCCTGCCCCAGGCTCACCATTGAGCTTCTCTCCAAAGAGCGTGAGGAAGACGGTGAAGTTGATGGGGCCCTTCCCCTCCTGCAGCATGGCGTCCAGCTCCTCTTCTGGGACACTCACCTTCCCTAGTGGGGTGGGGGCACGAGATGGACACAGGAACCCCGTAGGGTCCAGTGGAGCCCAGGCTGCCTTCCCCTCCTTCCCAGCCACAGGGGGTGTCGAATCACCGGCAGCTCTGAGCAGGGGAGGTGAGGTGGAAGTTAGGTGTGACTGGGGGGAGGGCGGTGTGAGGAGATGGGAGCAGGGCAGGCTGGGCGGGAGGTGGGCACTCACCGAGCTGGGAGTAGGTCTCCCGAAGGTCTGACTTGCAGATGATGCCATCACGGTTCTGGTCGATGCAGCTGAAAGCCTGTGAGGTGGGGGGCCTCAGTCTCCAGGTGTGAGCAGCTCGTGACCTCAGGGAAGGCAGAGGGTGGTGGGAGGAGCAAGGACAGGGGCCAGGACCACTGACCTACAGAGAAGAGGGGTGTATCGGGGCGGGGGCTCCGGGACAGGTCCCAGGCTGTTGGGGGTGGGGTACTCACTTCCTTGAACTCCTGGATCTGGGCTTGCTCAAACATGGAAAAGACGTTGGAAGAGCCACGCTGGGCCTGCTTGGTGGCTGCAGCCTTGCCCCGGGTCCCCGCCTTCCTGCTGGCCTACAACAACTGTGGGTGGGGAGGAGTCCTCTCCCTGGCTCCCCAAAGACTCCCCCCATGAATACCCCCAGAGCAGCCCAGGAGAGGCTGTGTCAGAGTCCTCTTCCTGTCCCTGGAGACCACCTCTCCAGGCCCAACACAGGCACAGCAATGGCTGGCTCTGCTCCCCTAGCCCAAAGGACCATAGCTGGGAGGCCACTGGCCTTGCATCCCCCCACCTGGCACTCACCATCCTCTCTCTGTGGCAGCCTGGTTGCCACGAGGGGCCCACAGCCCCCTTTATGTCTCAGCCTTATCACCTAGAGCACCAAATAAGGACAGGAGGAGAGGACAGGCCCAAACTTGGCAGCCCCTGCCTGGGCTGGGGGAAGACAGGGCCCCAAGCAGATTCCAGCCACGTTCCTAGTGACCTTCAGGCCCCCAACCTGTAATATCCGGGTGTCCACCCATTCCGGCAGCACCGGATGCAACACCTCCCGAGAGCAGAGCAGGCTCACAGCTCTCACCACTCCAGGTGCTGAATGAGAGGCCCCTGCTACCCCCATCTGACTGCCCCTCCTGCAGGGCCAGCCCAGAACCTGCCCAGGCCAAGAGGACAGCGGGGGGAGGGCTGGCCTGGGGCCCCCACAGGGCTTGGCAGGGCAGTGGGTGGTACTGAAGTTGGTCTCTGGCCTGAGACCCCCAGGGATTCCCAGACGTTTGGGTGAAGAAGCTTGGCCCTGGCCTCTGCCCCCTCTGACCAAGGGGCAAAAGGCAGCCCTGAGCTGGCTGTGACCCCAAACAGAACCTGCACGTGATGCTTTTGGAGCAAGAGCACTGCCTGTAGCACAATCCCCCGTGAAAGTGGGTTGTAAGCCCCTCATGTGGGCTCAACCGTGGAGCAAGGGGCCCGGGCGCCCTATGCTGTGCCAGAGCAGCAGCCTCACTGGCTCCTTGCAGGCCCAGGGCACAGAAGGGCTGGGAAGAAGGGGACATTCCAGAGCAGAAGGAGTGGGCTGCTGGCTGCCCCCCGAACCTGAAGCAGGAGTGGGCTGCTGGCTGCCCCCCGAAACCCGACTCTGCAGGGCTGCCCCACCACCCGGGAGTGAGGCCAGACTCTGCCAGTTGGGGTGAGGAATGCAGAGAGGTTCTTATCCATCAGACTCAATGTCCCTTTTGTACAACAAGTACGTATTTTAAAACACCTCCTTTACTCTCCTGAAGTGAAATTTATAGACTATATAACTTACCTTCATAGTGAATTTAAAAAAATCAATACAGTGCCCTGAACTGTAACATAAAGGAAAACTAGAAAGTAATTTATATTAAAATGAGATCCCATATGTGAATGCTCAAACATGAGTACATTAGTACCAATAATGAAGTAATCAAACGCTCGTACAAACTTTTGATGCATAATTTAGATTCAACAGAACTAAAAAGATAAGAAGCAATTCCATATGAGACATACCAGAAGATGAGAGAACATCTCAAGCGGGATGTGACTGCTCAAAATCACAACTTGGGGTTAAGTTCTGAATGAAACAACACAGTTATCCCAGATTTGCTCAGTAGTTTCTCTCACTGAAGAGTGAGTATATGTTAAAATCCTACAAATATGTGTTTATATGTAACTAGGCTATATGTAAGATGGCATCAGGCCCTCGGGTTGGCTATCTCAGTTAGGTATTTCACCCAGGAGCATCTGGAAGGACCTCAGAAGTCACGTGACTTCCTGTAGCCCAGGCCCCCCCAGTCACAACCCAAGTGGCTCTAAGGGAGCCCCTGCTGAGACCGACCCACAGCAGGACCAGCCCCCAGAGACCAGGCTGATCCCCTTCCCGGGCAGCACCCTGGCCTCCCACTCTTTCCCGGGCACTCTTTTGGGGCTCTCAGAGACCTCAGAGCTGCTGAGCGATTAGAGATGGGTAGATCCAGACCCCACATTCTACGGGCGGGTGAGTGCGGTCCTGGGCAAGTCCAGTACCTCTGACCTCCCCAAATGCCACCCCATTTGTGTTCCTACAGCCTGATCTGTCACTCTTCACACTTCCTGGCGTAGCTGGCTGGAGGGGACGGCAAATTCCAAGATACGCCTAGGCCTGCGGAGTGTCTGTGTGCACGTGACCACGTCTATATATTGACAATGGCTATATATTGACCCACAGCCCTTACGCACAGAGGTCAAAGAACAGTGGACAAGGCCAGGTTCTAAATTTTTAAAGCTTTTAATTAAAAAAACCACACGGTCCCAGTTGGGCATGGAGAGGTTGGTGTGGCACATGGAGGTCTGGTGAGAAGAGAGAAGCCTGGGTGGCCCCTCCGGGTGTGCTGAGTGCTGCTGGGCCAGCGCCCCCGCAGCTAGGTCCATCCCTGGGGTGCTCCCAGGGCTGCCTGTGGCAGGGGTGGGGCTCCTCCTCTTTCTGGGCCCCTGGGGTAGGGGCTTTGGAGGCTCTGCCTCTCCTGTGAGGGTCCATCCCAGAACCACAAACCACTCACTGAGGGCGCTTTGGGAGGGAAAAGGCTGCCATCTCCAGGCTTCGGGTGTACCTGTAGCCTCCACTCCCACCCTACCCACCCTGTAGCCCAGGTCTAGGTCTAGCCGGCCCCGGGGGGGGGGGGGGGCTGCCTCCCAATTTGGGCTAAGTTCCCAGGGAAGCCAGGCCACAGCAGAAGGCACCCCCTTCCCACAGCCAGGCTGAAAGCTCCATGAGGCAGGCAGTGCAGAAATGCAACAAAGTCCTGAGTGACCAACTCCTTCTGGGTCCTTGATTCCAACAAGTAAGGCAAGGGACTTGGGGGTCTCCATTCCTGCTCATCCAGCCCCCAACTCAGTCAGGGCCGTAGGGCTGTCCCACCAACTGACTCTGAGAGAAGAGGCCTTCCACGAACCCCCGCATTCCCCCCACAGGCCTTTCCCCATCTTCCGGGGTAGCAGGGGAGTTGAGAGGCATCCATGGTCCTTACAAGGAGAGGCCTCTTGACCCTGCCAGGCAGGGAGCATCTGTGGTGAGCATGTCCCCCAGAGCCCAGGTCTAGCAGCCGGCCACAGCCTCCTCCTTGCCTCGCGGCCTCCGTTCTCACTGGACCAGCATGCAGGCCTTCTTACAGGCCACCGCGGAGATTAGGGCCGCTCCCCGGCCGCTGCCCTCCTCCGACTCGATGAAGGTGATCTCGCAGTTGGGCGTCAGCCTGCGCACGCTGGCGTGGAACCGCTCCTTGAAGCTGAGCAGGAGGAAGCAGAGCTGCTGAACCTCCTCCCTGCGCTCCCAGATGGCCTCCCCCCGGCCCACCCTCCGGAGCCTTTTGGCTTACTCAACGCAGCCGCAGGGGATAAGCCTAGGGAACCCTTCCCTTGCGTCTGGACCAAGGTGGGCGAGGAGATGAGAGTCCTTGGGCCTCGGAGAGCGTCCGTTTCGGCCCGCGTTTCGTAAGTGGAGACTGAGGCCGGGCTCTGCCCTCAGGACGCGCCCCCACGCGGGGAGGCTGGGCGCGGCGGGGCGGGCGGCTGCGCGGGCTCACCTGGGATGCAGCTTGTACACCGAGCCGTCCACGCCCACGGTGATGCGCATCACGTCCTCGCTGCGGCTCTCGCGCATGCGGTTGATGACGGCCGCCAGCCCCGCGGAGCACATGTGCGCGGCGCGCGTGGACACGCTCTCACAGGCGCGGCGCACGAGGTCGCAGTCGGTGGCCGAGGGCCTCAGCCCCAGCGTGCTCAGGATGTTGTAGATCTGCTTGCGGTCGCCCGAGTCGCTGCGGGGCAGGGGCGGGAGCGGGGAGGGCGTCGCTGGAAGGTCGCTCACCTGGCCAGCCCGACCCCCAGCGGCGGCCTCTGCTCCTCCCCCTGCCCACCTCACGCAGGTAAAGCGCTTGGGGCTCGGGATCCGGAGGGGAGCGGGTTCGATTCCGCAAGGACCAGCAGTAACCTGGTCATTACTCTTCTCTTTAAGCCCAGGGTCTCCGCTCTAACCGGGGCCACAGCGCCGCGCCTCAGGGCTGTTGCGTGGACGAAGTGAGGCGACGTCCACGGCCGGTGAGGAGCCACGGGAGGGGCGCGCGGGCTGCTTCAACTGCCTGGCGGCGGGCTCTACTGGGGGCTGGAGGCCACCCCCGCCCCCTGAGCCGGGTCCCGGCGCCCTGCCGCAGCACCTCACCTCCCGCCCGCCCTGGGCCTCCCCGTCTACCTCCTAAGCTCCGCCCTCTGAGCCCCACCCCGGGACCTCGCCTGCGCCCTGATCCCAGCCCCCGCCCCTGCACCCCGGGACCTCACCCCCGCCCCCTGCCCCCTAAGCCTGGCCCGGGACACTGCACCCGGTGATCTCACCACCACCCCAGGACCTCACCCCCGGCCCCAGCCCCATTAGCTCGGCCCCCAGCACCCCACCTCTCGCCCTCGCCTGCAACACGCCCCTTGCGTCCCTGTTCCGGACCCCTCCCCCTGCGCACTGCCACCTGTACCCGGCCCTGCGCCCGCGCCACCCACGCACCTCTCCACTTGCGACACCAAGCGTGTCTCGAAGGCGCCGCGCGTGCGCAGCTGCTCCGAGGCCTCGCCGTGGAAGAGCAGGTCCTCGTCCACGAGCTTCAGCAGCACGAGCCGCACCAGCTCGCCCATGTACTTGCCGCCGATGAGCTTCTCGTACCTGCGCAGAGGGCGGCAGGGTCACCCCAGAGGGAAGACTCCACGCGCAAGCGGGGCTCGGGAGCCGGCGCCAGCGCCCCCCGCGGCCGCGAGGAGGCCATGTGGCGCTGTGACACCCCCTTGGCAAGCCTGGTTCGTGCCCGCTTCCTCGTGTATCAACGGGGCTTTAGGACTGCAGGGATGAGGAGCGTGCTTTGGGGCTCGGGAGCGGAGCCTCGGTCCAGCCCCTCTGGTGAGCCTCGCGCTGAATCCACTTCAGTCCTCCCACAGCCTGTGATGGGGTGCTGTTCTCATCGCCCAGTTACAGTCGGGGAAACTAAAACTTGGAGGCGCTGGTGACCAGTCTGGGGCGCACCCCTACCGCCACGCTAGGGCTCTGTGCTCCTGGAAGCCACGCAGCTGGCGCGTTCATGCCGACGTCTGCGAGCCTCCGTGTTTTCATTTAGTAGCACATTGACTACTACTGACCTAGCAGAGGTTTATGCGAGTCAGATAGGAAGCTAACGAAGGAATCAGCCCGTGCCTGGCGCATCTGGTTAGGCGGCTAATAAAGGGTACGGTGACTCACGACAACCTCTGTGAGGGCTGGTTCTCCAGCTGCGCTCTGCGCCCCGGCAGCATTCCACAAAATACTACTATCCACTCTGTGAACGC